CAATTGTAACATAGCAAAATGCCAGGAACATGAAGCCTACCATTTATCTGTGTCTAATCCCAAAGTTTACCGCAGTGAACGGAGAAGTTCATGGGGGTAGGCCTAGGCCCACTGGGGCTGTAGTGCCAAGGAAAACAATATCCCGAAGTTTACCTTCATAATCCCTATAAGCATTCATTACTTGATACTTTGACTTCTGACTGCATTACAAATAAAAAAAGTAAATAATAAAATTCGAGGAATTACTCTTTATAGTAGTGGTTTCAATTATGCTATTAATCATATTCCCATGTTTTGCACCCAGCAGTTTAAAAATGAACTGGTAATTATTATTCCCCTAATTTTATTTCATGAATAATGCACTGATCAAGGTATGTCTTGTATATCTAATGCGGCGCTGATGAGGAAAGGTCACGCCCTTTATGGAACCTAAAAATATATTACGATATTCGTAAAAGTCTACTGCTATCTCATCTGTGACTCTTGTGCACAGTTGACATTTCCCTTCCTATTATTAGTATTACTTTAAGATAGGTTTTTCCAAAAGACGTTCCTTGGAACCCCAGGGTTCCGCGTAGTGCAAAGAAGCATTCTGTAAGAAAAATCTTTTACAATATTTAACAAGAATTTCTGGGAAGAACACATCTCCTAATTTCCTCTCATTATAATTTTAGTATCTGATGGGGCAAGTAGAAAGAATAATTTAGTATTTATTCGAAATTAAGTCAATAAAACAACGCAGATTTTTAGACTGCAGTGCTGCTGTTTTTGAAGGGGCTGACTTATGAAGTACGCCGTTGAGAGGACCTCAGTTAGCATAACATTCAAGCCGAGTTTACTGAAGATTATTACTGGTACTCAGGTAACATTAAGGTTATTAATTCGACAATTTGAGAGGTTTCAGTGTTGGTATCACTAATGAGAGTGATTCCTTAATTACGGCGTTGTGGTGGTCTCAGGTGACATGATATACCTATGAAATCTCATTACGTGCGGTTCAAACATTTGACTGCTATTAAGGCTATAACCTCAATAATTTGAGAAGCCATAGTGTTAGTGTTACTGATGACAGCTGTGTATCATATATGCCATCGACTTGGCCTCATATGGCATGATACATATACGCCAAGTTTCATTAATATTAATACAGGATTTTTTTTAAGGTCTTTTGTTTCGTAGACAAAAAAAAAACTTATATAATACAATCTAAATAAAACCACAATTTTTATTTACAGACAACACACGTCAACAACATCCCGAAGCAAAAAGACTGGGCCAAGCGGGAAAGAATTCTAGGGATTTTAAGAATTCTTACTTCAAATAACGAAACATAATTTTACAGAATTAACGACGAATCAAATAAGAAAGCTACTGTGGTGTGTGAAAAACTTTTAGTGAACCGACACTCTGGGTAATTTTAACTATTTGTAATTATTTTAATTAACTGGAACGTGGCTATCTTTGACAAAGTGAAGTTTTGTGTGTTGGTGATTTCTTTTTCTACTATAAATGCCTCTGATGATGGCTCCGTGGTGAGCCGAAACATGTAAGGCAGGTGGTGACGAGGTGGAAAACTTAAAAAAGTGTCACATTTGACGGAAGGAACTTGATTGTTAATTAATACAGGAGTTCGAGCAGTATTAACGTTACGTCTCAAAAAACGGAAAGTTTGCAATGTTCGTATTCCTGATGGGAAGGTTTTATGAAATAAGTCACTGAGATGAGTTTATATATACCAGGTTTCATGAAGACTGGTTAACGCATTCTAAAGTTAAAAGTGAAGTTACGAAGACAAAGAAACACACATACACGCACACACACAGACATGGAGATGATTTCATATGCTTGCTTTTATTTTCTCAAAATAAGGAAAGGAGGCTAAAAGGGGAAATTACTGTTGGCATTGAAAAAAGCATTTATGCGGGATATTAATTTTCAAGCTTCATTCTTCGTATACATGAAAACATGATTCTTTTTCTAAGCATGTGCAGTTCAATAAAATATTGATCTTATTCTTGTTTTATATTAATTATTAATCCTACTTATATCAGGGCCGGTCACGGTAGCAGAGCGGTCTAAGGCATGTACTATTTTCGCTCGCTTGGAAACCGGAATCGTGGGTTCGAATCCCACTCAGGGTATGGATGTTTAGTTTGTATTTGTGCTTTTTACTGTGTTTATGTACAGGTAGAGGCCTTGCGACGAGCTGATCACCGAACCAAGGAGTCCTACCGAATGTGTAAGATCTAGAAAAACCGAAGTGAACGGAGAAGTTCGTGGAGGTAGGCCTAGGCCCACTGGGGCTGTAGTGCCAAGGGGGGGGGGAACTTATATCATGTGTAGTTTTTTAATTTCTCTCATAAGAACTTTATTAGGGGTTCGGTAAAGATATTCCGAGTACGAAAGTTTTCAGTGGCCAAATTAAGTTGGAAAATATTACTTTCAGATTTATGTTATTTTTACCTCATACCTAGAGTCTAGTAGCTCAAGTTGTGCCTTCAATTAAAGTTTTGAAACGAAAACACTGCATGTGGACATACCTCTTTTATCCATCAAACATGCTAATGTCTTGCTCATGTAATCCTTCTTGATATAATATAGGTTATTATGATTAACATATGCTGAAATAATTTTATTCTAATCGTCGGTATTCTTTCGTTACTTTAACTACCTTAGGTGTTAATGTCAAATCTCACTAGCCTCCTCTTTCTTCTCAATCAACTTAATCTGTGTTTTGGATATCCAGTTCTCGAAACGGCGATTAAGATGACTGGTATCTTCTGGGTTACGCCTTATGGTACACTAGAAGTCCACAGACATTTCGCAAGAACTTACTGCCTCTGTTTGCCACCTGTTTCTTCTTAATTTTCTGCTTCGCTCACCCTGAAGATGGAGGATGTATCCTCCTCCGAAATGATAGTGGACTTCTACCGAACTATACAGCTATAGAAATGACAAGACATTCGCCTAAAGAGAGAGTAAAAACGAAAAGCTTCTGTGTGTGATGTCCTAAGGCCAATACTTGAATGATTTTGCAGGGGCTCTAACTTCCTTGTCATTGCAATGATTAATTATAACATTTTTCGGCCAAGTTTTGAGTAGGTAAAAAAAGACTCTTCCAAATATATCAATGTTTATGCTAACACTAAAGATTTTGCTGAATTCTTCTTCCACTCGAGGCAAATGCCTTTTCTCTTCTAGATCCTTCTCGATTAACCCTTTGGTCCAATATTCTTCTTGAGAAACTCTGTCCCTTATCTCGAACATATATTCCGCCTATAAGGCTCTCGAAGACTCGTTATCATATTTACGAGTTTCCATCATTTGGCCATTTTCTGAACCAACCAACTCCGGAACACACGATCAAAAACTTTTGTGTAAGATCCCTTTCTTGCCCGTTCCATTACAGAATGTGCACCGTGAAGTAGAGTGTATCTGTTATTGATGAGTGTGTCCGTATCGATAGTCGACGATTTACGTGCTCACGTGTGTCAAATTCATATTCATGAACAAGGTACTTTATATATAACCACACATAGAAGTAAAGGGTGTTGAAGTCCGGTGATGGTGGTGACCAATTCTGCGGATTTATCGTGTCGTCTGACATGTGTTGTCGCTTCGTTATGCTGAAAGCCATTCATGTCCTTGTCAAAGGCACTTCTTCCAAAAGGACCGGCAGCAAATGATCCAAGAACACGGCGTATATAGCACTTGTTGGCCCGTCTCTCCAAGAAAACTGGTCCAGTGAGCTAAATGTCAATTATACCATACCATACGTTAATACATATTGACTTCAACGGTACTATGTGGATTCACATTCGACCACAAATGTGCGTTTATTGTTTACAACATTACCGGTAAATTGATGTCCTCAGTGAACGAGACGTACCGATGAAAATGGGGATGCGCGACTAGCCAATAGCAGTATCCACCGCCTACACAAATATCCGAGTTCGAGGTACTGAATTTACTGGACGGGGTACACATAGAGGCCTTCCTAATTTAGCTTCCGTCAAAATGTTTTGTGAGGAGCACTGATGCAGGCGGGGGTTCACACTGTTACGTGGTTTGCAATTCATCACTTTAATAATATTTTCCTCGTGATCCATAATTCATCTCATGTCGCCTGGCAACATAAACCTGGGAAACGTCTCTATTTCTATTAATTGTCGATTGAAGTACAAAATACAATTCTACGGGGGGTGCTTCATGGCGATAGTTGGCACCGATGTTCATTAACAGCAGCAGGAATGATTCTGTTACGAAATTCATAGACAAAGTCCATGTCTAAATATCCTTCATTAGTAAATGTAAGCCTCGTGCTTTCCAATTCCCTACTACCGTGCCAATGTTGACAACACACTTACTGTGCATACTGCTAGCCGCTACGCTGCTGTAGTACCTACTGGCCTGCAAGGAACTACATTCCAAAGCGTTCTGTCGCGGTAGCAGCCGAGTGTTTCGCCCGATACACCACATTTCCTTATAAAAAATTATGAAACTCTTGAGATTCGAAAAATGTTCCTGCAGCCACTTCATTCAAAATGGCCTCAGTAATAACTTCTTAAAGTTATGATATAAATTATTGAAATATCCTGTAGATATACAATAAATGAAGAAAGCAGTCTTCTGGGTTTTGGCACCGTGTATATGTGGTGTTAACCGACGTTTCGGAGGAACGTATCTCCTCCATCTTCAGGGTAGAAGGAAAAATATAGTCTGCTTTTACCGGTTCTCACGGTCTCTTCGCTTGCAGATTTCTTATATTTTTTCTTCTACCCTGAAGATGGAGGCGATACGTTCCTCCGAAACGTCGGTTAACACCACATACACACGGTGCCAAATCCCAGAAGACTGCTTTCTTCATAGTCACCGCCGTGAAAGCCTCAAATCTTATATACAATAATTGTTATGAAAAATAAAACAAAATCTTTTAATCCGACGTTAGTCAGAAATATGCATCTTACAAATCCCCTACCCAAACCACGTGTTTGTTGCAGTGCTTTCAAGACTGGGATGCAATGCTTCGACCTGTACGCAGCCACGTGTCTGAATGGTGATGAACGGAAAGTCATGAACAGAAATGTGGCAGGAGCCAGGCACGCATTCAGCTACCTGTGTGACGACCCTTCTTTCCAGACAGGTAATGTATACATAGACGATGTCTCTGTGGGACAGAATGGGAATCCCCTTTACGACCTATGCTTGGACGACGTGCTGTATTATACTGTGAAACTTTTCTCTTCATGCAATATCAAAGTTTGAGGTTCATGGTGTAGGAGTACAGCAGTCCAGGGGCTGCAAGCACTGTTTCCCATCATCCCCCCTCAGACAGTAATCTGCAGCATAGCTCAGCGGGCGCCGAACCACTGCAGCAATTCATTATAAACCGAGAATTAATTTTAGTGAGGATTAATACCTTTTGGGACATGACCTAAAGCAACGCCTTTTCACGTCCCAAAAAATAGTAATTTTCGTTGTCACTATAATGAGGTTAGAAAAACTACACAATGAGGAGCTTCATAACTAGTACCCTTCTCCAAGTATAATTAGAGTGTTCAAGTCAAGGTCCTTCAGGGTGTCCTACCAAAGAGCTCTATGAATTTTTCTTCTCTCCCGTTCGTGCTACGTGCTCCGCTCATCTCATGCCCTTATTTTGAACATAGTATAATATCCAGCAAGGTGTAGTACAAATTTTGGAACTCCACAATATGCATTTTTCTCCAGTCTATTCTGTATTCCACGCTCTGTTCCCAGATACTTACATTTAAAGTTCTTCTTACGTTGTGAAATCCTAAGTTCTGAATCCATACAAAATAATAGGTAAAACTGTTTCATAACTTTGTGGATAGCAAAGTGGAACGCAACAAATGAAGAATGAATGAGAGCCCACATTCACGGAATTTAATCCCTTCATACTTTCTTCATGAATGAAATTCCCATCCCTGAGCCTCAGTACTGTTTCAGACTAAGGTACAGCCACTTTCTTCCACTTTCTCTTCATTATTCACTAGTCATTACGTAAGTTGTCACTAGGGATAGTCTGAGATACTGGCAACGTCATTAAATAAATTTAATTTGAAACATTTCATTAAGTCATGTGCCTTCTTACACTTGGATTCGCTTTGTATCAAAAATCAGTTTGAAGTTATAATTAAGAGATCGAATGGTGTTCTAAATTATTAAAATAAAATTTGACTATCGGGGCATTTTTAACAGACATAAGGGTGCCTCAAATACTAAGCTAAACTAAGTATTTGTGATGGTGTGAAAGTAATTAAAAAACTATGAAGATGACATTGGACATAAACTGTCATTTAAAAAAAAGGGGGTATTTTACCGTTCTCACGGTCTTGTCGCTTGCAGATTTCTTATACTTTTTCTTCTACCCTGAAGATGGAGGCGATACGTTCCTCCGAAACGTCGGTTAACACCACTTATACACGGTGCCAAATCCCAGAAGACTGCTTTCTTCGGTTTTCATTCAATTTTTTAATTTAAGTTTTCTTGAAAAATAACTTCTTTTATGAGCATGTGGTTTATTCTTTATAAAATTTATCTGCTTTACCTATTATGTAACGTAACAACACCAAATATGCGTGAATCCAATGAAGATAAAAAATGCATAGATTTAGTTTTAATTTTCGCATGCGTAAAAAAACAATTATTTTGTTTGATAAATTTGTTCGCTTCCTTACTCTTCAACCCTGAAGGTAAGCCGGTATGTTCCTCCGAAATGCTATAGTATCCTAGAGGTTAGCGCTTCTTGATATTTTCGCTTTTTCATAATGTAAAAATAAATGTATAAAAATTGTATGGTTTTGCGAAATTATACCTTTTTACGTGGCTGCATTTGTTCTCCTGCTACTAAATCTTAGATACCTACTAAAGCGCAAGTAATTCCTTGGTCAGTTGAGTAGCCATCGAGGTTTCAAGAACGATTCTTCACTGTGGAGTTGATGACACTATGATTCAGCACGAGTTCACAACTTACACTGCCAGAACCGTTCGTGCATAAGCGGTATATGTAACATAACTCTATTGGATGCAAGCTTCTCACCGACGTAGCCGCGAATAGCATTATCTTCTGCAATGCGATGTTGAATAGTCCCATAAAATTTCACCGACGTTAAAGTAATACCTCCTACCCCACATCCAAATAGTTTCTAGTTACTTCTTAGTTCATTCTTTGAAGCGGAAATAGAGGCAGTTCGTCCTCCGAAACTTCGGAGTACTATCTGAATACAATGCGTCATATCCCAGAACAGTGTGTTCTCCTCTCATCATATTTGCTTGAAAACATTTATTAATTCATCAAAATAGTAACCACTAACTTTACATAGGCATTATCCTAAGCTGAACTGACATTTGGATTTGTTGCTGGAGGTACTAGCCAGCGGTTCGCTACGATCGCGTGACTGGTGCAGCCTCACGGGCCTCGCTATATTTTTCTCAGCTGGTGTAGAATACATACAGAATGGCTCTGGAGAGATGCCGTAAGGGTAATTACTGGCATCGTACACAAAATTTACTGAAAGTTTTAAATGACTGACATAATGCTGTTACAAAGTAATTTTTGTTGAGAGTCCTGGTCATTACTGAAGGTCGAAAGCTACTACATGAAACTTCAACTAAATGACGTATAATCTGGCTGAAATTGAGCCATCTTCCTTCACGTAATAAATTGTCAATCAAGAAGCTTCGAGGTTGAAAGTCTGGCGATCAGTAATTCTATAAACTCGTGTATATTCTGTGCAATTCTTTATAAGGAACAGTGATGAATGCGCACTGTAATAATTTTGGAAAAATAAGAAATTTTGAAGAAAGTAAATCTTATGAACAGTCTGTGATATCGAAGAATAAAATACACAGAACTGCAGAAAAATGTTTACTCATTTCGACATTAGTAAAAACATTGTGAAAGTAAGTTAATTTTGTTTTTTTTTTTTAATTTTTATACAAAAATCTAATAGCTTTATTCAATTGAAACCACTAAAGACAGACTTATCATCACCTATACTAACCAATCACATTAGTAATGGTGAACAGTGTAAGCGAAACAATTTTAAGATATTATCCATCGTCAATCATCTGAGGTTAGTGATATGTCCTCTGCCCTTGCCCGTCGCCGGTGCCTGAATAAAGAAGCGATCGGATCAGAATATTGTGAAATCTTTCCCACCTCTCCGCCGGTCATGCATTTCGTGCCGCAAAAGAAGAAAGAAATGTTGTAGTAACATTGAGCACAACTGACTACTCGTTAACAGAAAGGGAATATGAAAAAAAAAAGAGTTTAAACATGTGTACAAAAAACGCTCCAAATAAACTTTTAATATATTTCACTACACCAAATATGTTTCGTCTATAATTTTCAAAGGTATCTTCAGATGTTTATCTATCATAACATTTTCTAGAATAAACTCTCCATGTAAAACATCTTGTTTAAGATATATTATTTGTTAATTAAAATTATATCAAAAATGAATTCCACAAAGTAATTGATAAATGATTCCTTCCTTCTTTCAGCTCATTGGAGTTGCTTTGTTCCTCCTATGTTGCTTTTCCATTTATAGACCTAATTTTGTTCATGAATTATACATTCAGATCAACTAAATATGACGTTACCAACGCAAATTTTGTACGGTGGGAAAATGCATAAAATATTAAAGTAGGTTTATGGTTGAATTTGAGGTACTCGGGAGTAGTAACAGTCAGGATTCAGGTACTGCCTCTGTCTTCAGTGTCGAAGATGGAGGCAGTAGAATCCTCCTAGACGTCGATCGACTTCTGTTCGACTACATTATTTCACATCCCAGAAAATATGAGTAGCAACCTTCATACATCGTAGTTTCTAGGAATCCTGCTTGGAACTCCTAGTTGAAACTTCCTAGATTGGGACCTGAAATTCTACTTGTTACTTAACGTACAACCGTCGCCAAGTGTGGCCAGATGCATCTGCGTGTGAAATAAAGAAAATAAACATTTAAAATATCCCAGACATTCCCCGATTCACATATAATATGCCTTTTAAACATAATTTTTTTAAATCTCACAGATACTTGTTTTGCCAAGATATTAACCATGAAGTAACTTGTGGTTGAAGAAAGACGAAACAGTTACATTTCAATAGATTAAAAGTAAAGGTGCCGGTCACGGTAGCCGAGCGGCCTAAGGCATGTACTGTCTTCGCTCGCTTGGAAATCTGGATCGTGATTTCGAATCCCAATCAGGGCATGGATGTTTAGTTTGTGTGTGTACGTTTTTCTGTGTCAGTGTACAGGTAGAGACCTTGCGACGAGCTGATCACCCGCCCAAGGGGTCCTACCGAATGTATAAGATCTAGAAAAACCAAAATTGACAGAGAAGTTCATGGAGGTAGGCCTAGGCCCACTGGGGCTACACAGCCAGGGAAGAAAAAAAAAAGTAAAAGTAAAGTTGTTTCTGTGCCGAACTAATTAAGCACTTTGCCATGAAGGCATATGGGGGAGAGAATATATAGATCCACGTATTCTTGACCTCGGTGCTAGTTAGAGATGAGTGTACAGCTCCACGTCCCAGTCTCTCTTACCCCGGAGAAAGGGGCCCCGGTACCCCTCCGGAATTGGTATGGAGAACGTGGAGAAGAGAACAATTTTGTCAGCACCAAGACTGAAACTCCAATCTCTCGGCCGTCCAGCCTGTAGCCAGTCTCTCTACCGACTGCGCTCTCGCGGCTCCCCATGTTAAAACACTGGATTTCCATAAATATTCATTGCATGATCTCATTTACCTTTTTTCTTATTCTTTTCAGAGTACCTCCAATACAACTCGTGCTACAGAAAAGTTTCCAGGGACTGGGACTTTTGTGCCAACAGATTTCTGGAGAGAGTAAACAACTCGCATACGAGAGCCTTCGATATATGCTGGTAAGCCACAAAATGAACGTTTCAACAGCAAGCACATAAGGTCTTCCGTAAGGACTGTCTACAAAGTTCTACTGTTACACAGAGCGTACATGCGAACGGATCTGAAACATTCATAGGAGCGAAGCGGTCATGTTGGTTTTGTTTCTTCCAGAAGAAACCCACGTGAAGTTGTTTGTCGCGTGACATCTGTCCTTTTGTACCAGCCCCAGATGATAGGTGAGGGTGATTGTGGAGCAATTGGTGGAATGAATGTTGGCAAGGGAAACCGAAGTACTCGGAGAAAACCTGCCCCAGCCCCACTTTGTCCTCCACAAATCCTACTTGACCAGATCCGGGATCGAATCAGGGCCGCCGCGGTGAGAAGCCAGCGACTAACCGCTTGAGCTATGGCGCGGCCGACAAGCTAACTTATTAAAATTATTGAAATGTTTCGGAAGCTTCCACATGTGCACTATCTAAACATTTGGAATGTTTCTTGTCCATGTACTCAGTAATATAAATACTCCTGTTATTTCTTTTTATTGTACATCACAATGAAGGATTATGGCCCCGTAGGACTGTGAATATTTTAACTGAAGGTAGGGTTAAAGGCAAAGTTATCCCTGGGTTTAACTAATTGAGTACTACACCACGAAGACCTAAGGGATAGTGGAGATATAGCTCCACCAATTTAACCTCGTCATTAGAGGGATGTAATTATTTAGCTCCACAACCTTGATACGAATCGTCGGTATAACCAGACTACACAGCGCCATATCTCAAGTAATAACTATTTTCAGCAGCATTACCCTTACGCACATAAATAACAAACTATTTAGCTACATGGATGCGGAGTGCCGTAAAAATTAATAACAGTTCTTATAGTTAATACACGTTGTGCCTTAGTGGAACCGGAGGTAGTTACCGCGTTCGCAAGAGCCCTCTACTGTGCTGGCTACCGAGCGCAATAATAAGTAATTGTATTATTAATATTACCTCTAATATTGCTCCGTTACACTTTTTCCGTAACAGGGCTTTATTTCTCAACACAGTTAGTTAAGTCTATATCCAAACTATTATAAATTCTCCAATATTTTTGAGCGAGATCATAAGAAAAGGGGGACCCTGCATCACTCTTTTGCTTTGTGTCTATCCCTCCTTCCCCTCCTCCCTCTCCACCCCCTCCTACTCGAACTGATAAATCCCTCAGTACGTCACGCAACTGTTAATTCACGACAACAAAACACAGAAGGGAATTTGAATTGAATTGAAATTGATGGCTTACAGATACTGCGTACTTCATAATGAATATCGTAGCATCAGCAAATACACCCAGCGTGCTTCGTACTCTGTTTAATTTCCAAAGCATGTGAGTTATAATATCTCTAGGACAGTAAACTGTAGATTAGATCATTGTATAAAACAAGCATATCGTCACAGAAACCTGAAAGTGGTCACCTGGCATTCTGTTAGGCTACGAAGTATTTGCATTAACACAACGAACGTTTTACTGATTATCTAGAATAATTTTGTCAATATACACCCAGCTATTACTGCCACATAAACACCTCAGATAATCTAAAAAAATAACCTAGAATATGTAATTAATAATGATAACTATTTTTTTCTTCATATGCTAGATTCCCAATATGCTGTCCTTGCGATACACATGTCAGCCTAAAACATTCTCTTGCGAGTATATTAAGAGATATGATCAGACTTAAACTTTCCAGACATTTCAAGAAGAGTATCACAGAGATCTGAATTATACATTGAATTTGGAGTACCTAATTTAGAATGAATTTTTGTAATTTTAATAAAAATAATGAAATTTGTAACATACTGTGGCATATTTGCTCAAAGTAAGAACTGAAGAACCAGAAACTTTTAACGACTGTGTAACACAATGCAAGTTGTGTTCTCAATGCAGAACGTGCCGAGGCAATATAACGAGTGCAAGCTGTCAGTATTGATGAGTCCTGAGATGGCGGCCGCCCTGCGAGGGTGTGAGCCCGAGAACAGAGGAACGTCCACTGTTGGAAGACGTTACCGAGCCGAGCAGAGCAGTGAATACTGAGAACACTAGTCTTTGTGTGATAGTAATTTGTGAAGTGTTGTCACGAGTTGTAAAAGTGTCCAATAGGCTGTAAATCCTTCGTTCTGTACTTTATTTACTCCTTCTGATATTTTACAACTCCTGGATGAAAATATTCTTAATATTTCAATTTGGATATCTTCTACTTTCCCCTTACATTCTGACTACTGAAATGCAGTACATTTCTCAGCCTGTCTATGACTGGGACAGGGTATACGAAACAGAGGTGCAGAACCGACGCGAGAGGAACACTTAAATATATTGCTTATGCCATGTAAAGATGACGACACGCATATCTATTACAACTACAACAAAGAGAAAACTATTACGAGTCTCCAATGTTTAAAAGTTGGAAATATAATTCTTTGTAGAAGAGGACGACTTGGAAAAAGCAAGAGTTGAGAGCAGTTTCATTCTGTCTGCCCTGTTAATCATAAGGGGTACCTTTCTCATACATGAATTGTTAATGTTGTTTCACTATTAAATGTTATACACGATGACAAGAAAGTGGAGGGTAAGGTAATTAAGTGCATCCTCCTTCTGTGTATGGCTTTTAATGAAGCATGTGGGGTGTCTGACTTCCTCCTACTCTTTCTCATTTCCTAGCTGTTTCGAAGAAAGGTATAGCAGCAGCGCTGTTCTTCCAGAGGAAGCCTTTCGCTCCTTCCACTTCCCGGCCGACTTCTAAGTTCTTTTTCCTTTAATAAACAACACATGGATCAGAAAGTGATTTTATTTTCAGATTTTTTTGAAACTGTGAGGGGAACACAGCCAAGAAGCGTAATGGCAGCAGGAAGTCTACTGCACAGCATAGATCAATATCAGATTGAAACATATATATATATATTTCACGACTGTCGAGCGAAACTGTACTTCGAACTAGAAATTCTACTCAAAGCACTCATGATGGAACATATTTCATACTTGCAGTTGAAAAAGTTCAAATGGCAGTTGTTCTATACTTACGTTTACAGCTGAATGAAACGGTGATGACACTTTTCTGATACTATACGCTAATGAAAGTGGCCATGATAGGTTATATTTGCAGCTGAAATAAGTGCAGATGACAATACATAATAGAGTTTAAAGAAGTAACTGTGAGAACCGTGGTGTAATTCTGTTGAAAGGAATGTCTTTGACATTGTTTTCACTGGTCTACTTGCAGTTGAAAGGAACGAGTATGATATTTGTTGTAATTGTGGCTCACAGAATGGTAAATGTCATTACTTTACAGTAATGTAGTTAAAGTTAAAGAAATTAAAAAATAAATTAACACGTTTACTGAGAGTCTAACCATACGCCAAATAAGAATTGATGCCCCATCTAAGGACCGAGAGTATAGTACTTTCTGAGTGATCTGGGACATGAGTACCGCAGAGATAGAATAGAGAGGGCTGCCAGAGGAAACCGGAAATGCTCGAAGTAAAATGTACTTTAGGACCAACTTGTCCACCAAAGATCCTACATAGATTCCCTGCGATTTAGTCCAGGTCTAGGCAGTAAAAAAACCTGCGTCTTAGTACATGAGTTTAGCTTGGCTTTCATAGTTTATTTTCATAAAAGTAAGCATAGTAAAGAATGTTGTAAGAATTTCAAAGCTGTAGTCACATACATAATTTCCAGAGCCTGTATTGAAGGCCGGCAGGTTGACACCAAAGAGTTGTAGTGCACTGATGGCAGGGAGTCACAAGGGAAGCCATGAAGAAGACATGGCCCACTAGATGCATTAATTAATGCCTAAAATTTTGACAGTAATAATACACAACGTGATATCTTACTGAGAGGAAACAGAGTTGCTTGGGAACTCAAACAAGCGGTGTAAAACTCAATGTCTCACGTTTTGACTGTGCATTTATTAGACACACAACACACAGATTTGCGTCATGTAGTTGGATTGCATGGAGAGTTTTATTTCTGTCTGAAGTTCTGACTGAATAGAATAATCCTACAAACACAAAACTTAAATAGAAGTATGAATTTATTTTATATTACATACTACATCAACTTAATATTATTTCCGAGAATAAACTAAAAATACTAAAAAAATATTAAATAACTTAAGTACAATAATTATTTAACTGCTAACAGTGTTTTTCATCATTTCTGAATTATTTAATAAGGTTGGAGTGTTATATAACGGTTCTAGAAGGGAGTAAGTAGGATTAACACATTCCACATATTTCCTGGCTCTTTGTATCTCAAGCAGTGACGTTTATATTAGCTGTCCAGAATTAATTCCTCTCGATTTATCAATTTGCATCCGCAAATAACATACCGAATACATTTCAATTTATTTCATACTATGCATTCCTATTTGCCAATATGTAATGCTGCAGAAATATACTAATGATATTAAATAAATTATAGAATATTTCTTATTAGGAACACAAATTTAGCGTCTGGTTTATTTAGTGAAAACCGCGTTCTGTAACATAAACCCATTCCACTGAGGTTTCTGAGGATGTTTAATAAAATAGTAAACTTTCCTTTACGTTTGAGCACCAGGACATGAAGTTACATAGGGTTGAGGGAATAAGTTTTCAACATATAACAAACCTCAATCCCAGACAACGGCAACTGGCAGCTTCCCGCCTTCAGCCACTTGACTCACGGGAAATATTCTAAGGCGTTCACTGCATAGAAGACTAGGTGGGTAAGGCATGAATTTTTATTTTGTGATAGAGAAATTGGTTTAATGCTCCTGAAATTGCACTAATTCTGCTATATTATCCGCACCATTTCCCATCACTTCAGCTGTCGAAATCGCTTGTCCTGAGTAAAGAATATAGATTGAGAATGTTTCAAAATGGGGTGCTGAAGAGAATATTTAAACCGAAGAGATAGATCAAATAAGAGAATTTTGGAGAAAACTACATGATCAGGAGTTTCATAATTCATACTCCTCACTTAATATTACTGAGACGACAAAATCAAGTGCCGATCACAGTGGTCGCGCGGTCTAAGTCATGAACTGTCTTCGCTCGCTCGGACGCTGGGGTCGTGGTTTCGAATCTCACTCAAGGAACGAATATTTGTTTTGTGCGTGCATTTATTCTGTGTTTATGTTGTCCTGTTATATATAGGAATTATGTTAACCGTCAACACAACAAATATACTCAGTTTTAATATTCGATCTTTATTCGTGCTACATGTTTCGGTCGTATAAGGCCGTATAAAACACGTAGGAGGAATAAAAGTCGAATTGTAAAACACTGAAAACGAGTATATTTGTTGTGCTGACTGTTAACCTAATTCCTATATATATATATATATGGAACACACAGCAGGATGCATCTAATGAAGATAATGCCGTATGGTGGGCGATGACTCGTTCAAGGAGCCCAACCGACTATGAAAAAGGCACTGAATAAGAGGAAACGGCCTTGGATGGGCTGGAAGAACCATTGGAAAAAAAAAGATACATTCAAGTAGGTTGAAGTAGATAAGAGCATGTAGCATATATATGAAAGATTAGAAATGCGTAGTCCTACAATATTTCAGTTCGAGAATTTGAAGGGAAGAGGCCATTAATAAAACGAAAGACGAAATATAGTAACAAAATGAATCGTAAAGGAACAGAATGTGATGGTGTGGACTGGAAAAGGCGTAGTGGGGATCGGGACCCATATAAATCGGTAATATGCTTCGTCTGCGGTACTCGTCATGAAATTTCTTGACTAGCTGAGCCATTAAGGCTTCCCAGGAAAGACTCTGTTCCAAAGGATTAGTTAGTTCGTTCTCATGTCTCCTTCATGAATTCAGAATAGACTATGCATGCAGAAGGCCAACAGTGTTTAGAATCTGCCAATATTCGAAAGTGCTTGTAATATATATTACTACTTGGGAAATCTCAGGTGTTTGTTATGGTGCATGAATAAATGGTCCTTCCATGTGTCTTCAAATGATGGTTACACCTAATGCCTTGATGTTATGTTGCAGCGCCAATCACGCGTTTCTAGACTGTGTGTATGACGTGGGAATGAAGAAGTGCCACCACAAGGCTGCAGACTTTCTACGTAAAATTGCCGGCATCTTAGCTAACGTGAGAGTACACGATGCAGCTTGCAGATCCAAAGGAGAGACTCCAGACAGGTGTTCTGCTGCGGACTGGCGCCCTGCACTTCTTGTTGTAGTGAGCTGCTTCATCGTTCTTTTGACTACAAATGTTTCTAGCAGCTCTTCAATCGATTGAGTGATTGATGTGTCTTAAGACTGGAATTGAAAGACTTCATTTCCAGAACTAAAGAAAAATACTGTCTTCTACATATTGTATTACAAATATAGTTTGTACCATCGTTTTATTTGATATATTGCCGTCGTACGCCAAAGGCTGGCCAATGTTAAGGGATCGTAAACGCACAGAAACACTGCAAAGAAAAGTATGAATGTCATTCGTTGTGAAATTTCACAGAGTAATGCCAATACATAATCGTGTATCGATAAATCTTTATTATGAAAAGTTTTTATAAAAGTAGCACTGGCCCTCGCATAACTACGTATGAAATATAGGTTTACATAATATCCATGAACATTGGTATTAGGATGCATATAGTTAATTTATTAACCCTATGGGCTGGTTCGTGTTTCAGATGGTTAATGTTTGCATAAATAGACAAGAAATTCTCTGTTTCCAATAAAATCCGAAAGTACTCCAGACTGTTTTCTAAAGCCTGCACTGGTCCCTGTCCTGAACCATGAATATTTATTTTACTATTGCCCTCTCATTTGTCCCTAGGTCTTCCATGTGGTGTTTTCGTTCCGGTTTATGAGGCTCAAATTCTGTAGCACATCTAACCTGCCTCATGTGTCCTACAAATCCTATTGATCACATCCTCATACTTACTGTTCTGTATGACTTTTATAAAGCAAAATGACAAAATTTATCTTTGTATAACTGCTCCTTAACTTGAATAAGAAAAGAAATATTATAAAAATTGTACCTCAAAATGTTGTCGTTTACATCATTTCGTAAAACACAAATTTCCTTGAACACCTTAAGGCCGATATAAATTAGTTTTTGATAACTGAAGAGTACAAATATTTACGTACATGCAAGAAGAAAGGGATAGTCAGCTAATATCGCGGCGTTTGCCTGGAGAGACTGAGAACACCATGCACATTTTCAGGACAACGGCTCTATCGATCGAAACTGAATTGTAGACACCCAGAATATGAAGCACAAGTACTAAGCACCCAAGAAAGGAATTTGGTGATAGTTCAGGGATATTTCACCCAGAATTACAGAGGATAATTAATTAAACTTTTCGTCAAAACCACGTCCGTTAAGTATTACATGTGACATAAATGTATGCAGACATAGAGAGCTTAATGCTATTTTGCACAAATTTCACATATAAAGGTATGATGGGGAGGTCATTTCTACTGTTCAGCATGTTTATTGTATGACACGACGAAGCGAATTTCGAATATGTTCGATAATGGAAATTTACCTGAAAAGTTGTCGAGCGTGTTTAATTTCTGTTCGCACCAATCAGACATAAAGTGTACATTACACGAAACTCAAATCACACTGGACTGACTTGGTACTCTGTGCACTGTTCTGCACGAACACGCTTCTATAAGTTCCATCTCAAATATTTTTGGATATGGCAATATTTAAAAGGATTCAAGGAAAATAATTTCTGTTTCTGGGAAATGTCAATGCAAATAAGATCTAAAGACAAGAAGATGGATAATGTCCAAGAACATATGTAATATTTATAATAAGTATCAATGTTTTTGCAAAAACAGATTCTGCCGTAAGAGCAGCGTAAATGAACTAGTCTCGGCCTTGGTGTGTTCTCCACTCTCTAGCTAATTGTACGTATTCGGTATTTATAGAGCAGATCACTGATTTACTGCACAATGTTCTGTCAATAAATAATAATGTTTGATATAATTATGAAGAAAGTCGTCTTCTGGGTTTAGGCACCGTGTATTCTTCGTTTTGGCCGACGTTTCGGAGGAACGTATCGCCTCCATCTTCAGAGCAGTTGAATGGCTTGGAATGCAGAGAGCAGTAGCTGTAGTGATAGG